TCAAATCACTATTGCCAGCTCAATAGTTTTAGGTTAACCTGGAGGCAAAACAGAGCTGTCAACACCATTACCAGTTAGAAAGAAAAGACTTTTCCTGCCACTTATTGGCGTAAGGAACAATTAAAGTATCCCCATGCATATGCCAAGATAAAATTTCCACTTCGTATGAAGTGGTGGCCATGTAGGCAATGAATAAAAATAATGATAATAAATAATACAGGAGGTGGCCAATAGCAAGAAGACTTGTATCCTTTGGCTTCGTGTCTGACCTTGTCACCTCTTTAACCCTGAAATAGCCAGTGGCATGACCAGGGAAGGCAGAGTACCTCCCTGTGTATAGTTCTAGTTTAGAGCTTGCTTGAAGCAACCACAATAACAAAAACTGTGTCAGCCAGCAGAATGTAAATATTTAAAGGGTCCGATTGGCAGTGAACTGTCTCAAGTGTCTTCTGTTTATAATCATTCACTGAAGTAAATGTTTCCTATGATACAGACAGCATGTGGTAGGTTACTGAACTTCACTGTCTGGTTAAAGTAATGCAAAGAATGTAAAAATCTGGCAGCCATTGAACTCCTTAGCTGCTTCTTCAATATTCAGTCAACCTTTACATCTTTCTGTCACGAGGTTGCCCCTGTGGCAGCTCTCTTGTGACTTTGGCTGTTTTGAGCTCTTGCACGTGACCAAGGGTGTTATAATCTGAATTGCCTTTGACAGCTTGCCAAGGTTGTACTTGGAATAAACATGTTAGCTCTGAACAGGTAACCCTTGAGTCCCAAGAGCTTCCCTGGGTCAATTTCACTCTCATCAAACCAAGAGATATTTTCATAATGGAATTATTTCTGACACTCACTACAGAATGAGAAGACATCCATATATTTTTACTGCTTAACTGAAGAGGTGGTTCTGAATCAAATGTTTGTTTGCTGATATCATCCTTTTCACTTATTTCTCAGATAACAGATATTTTTCTCTTGCCTCAAGTTCTTTAGTATCATACTAGTGTTTATGGCCAACATTGATTCAACATTTGGGCAGAGGCTCCTTTTCCCTAATTTAACATCCTATTTGCTGGTAACATTGGATCTTAAAAAGAATTTTTTTAATGTTTTGCCTGTCATGGGTAGCAATGAATTGTAGCATAGCCAAGTAGTTTTTTCTGCCCTTGCATTCTTGGCTTGGGTGTGCTGGGCAGTCCATTACTTGGTATACATTAGCCACTCCAGTACATATTGAATTGAATGAATGAAAGATCAACTGAATAGATAGAGTTATAGTATTTATGTTACAGGAAAATAAGGTGTTCAGTTGGGCCATGGAAAGAAATGGGCTCTCTGAACAGCAGGGAAAGGATTGTTCCTACAATCTCTTGGGTGCCTTTCCCAAATTCATCATTCTTCAATGTGCTTTTCTTTTCCTTATAGTTTTCTTTAATGTACAGTTCCCCTGCTTTATGAAATCACATTAGGATGGAAGTATTTATTTAGTTTTGAGACCTTTATGTCTGTCAATGTATGGGCATCAACTTAATAAGTTTTTGGAGGTACCTCCATTTCCTATTGCCACTATAACAAATCAATGCAAACTTTTCCAGCTTAAAACGATACTCATTGACTCTCTCACAGTCCTATAGGTCAGAAGTTCTGGTGGGTTTTACTGAGTCTTCTGCTTAGGGTCTTAACAAATCTGAAATCAAGATGTTGGCTGAGCTATATTCTCTTCTGGAAGATGTGAAGAAGAATATGCTTCAAAATCATTCAAATCTTTGGCAGTTGTTTCTTGTGGTTGTAGGACTGAGATCTTTGTTTCCTCACTGGCTGTTAGCCAGGAGCCACTCTCTGCTCTAAAGGCCACCTGCATCCCTTTTCACATGATTCCATCCATCCTCAAACCAGCAATGGTGTTGGAGTCCTTTTCACACTTCCAATCTCTCTGGCTTCCCCCTTTGTTACAGCAAGAGAAAATTTTCTCTTTTTACCAACAGAACTCATATGATTAAGCCCACTTGCGTAATCTCCTTTTCTTAAGGTCAACTGATTAGTAACCTTAATGACACTGGTAACTCTCTTTCACTATGTGATATAACATAATCAGTGGAGTTACACCATGGGGTAAAGGTCAGTGAGTCCACCTTAGAATTAGAATTCTGCTTATCACAGAAGGTGGGAGAGAATAAATACCAGATTTATGATACAGGCATGTTTGTTTGTTTTTAACTCACTGGTGGTGGTATGCCTTTCTCCATGCAACATTATATCTTCTTTTTGGCATCATAGTCCATGTTGGAGCCTCGTCCTCTTCCAGAGTCTGAAGGAGGCTCTGAATCATTGATAAACTTGAGCAGTTACTCCGAGTGTCATGGTCTCATCTCAAGAATACCTGATCTTGACTCTGTGGCAGCTCTGGGCTTGAAAATATAATTTTGAGACATATTAAAGAATACTGAGGTTTTATGCACATTTTCTGTTAGGTTAAGGTTATAATTTGTGTTTCACTCACTTGACTTAAGTGTTGTTGAGATTAAACAGTTTCTCTGAAAGGCCAGCTGGAAGAACTAGACTGAGAATGCTTCATGATACAGTTTGCTCTTATTGAACTCCCCTGACTTTGAGAATTCTATGGTACTTTTCTGAGCTATTTGGCAAATTCTTCTGCTTTTAGCTGTACTTCCCAGTAAATGGTAACATGCATCATATTCTGTAAGTACTATTACCTTTTGTTTGTCCAGCATTTAACTCTTTGTGGCATGCATCTTGGCTTCCCTTGCTGACATAAACACCTTTAATGGAAGGAACTAAAGCAGCTTTATAAAGTAGAAAGTCATATTTTGTAATTCAGAACAAGGAAGCTTAGGGCATCTCATATTGCACCTTCTCTTTGCTCCAGTGGTTTCATCATGCTGCTGCCAAATGGTTCTTCTAAAATGCCATCTGCATCAGCATACCGTTCCTCTCCCAAGCCCTTCAATGGCTCTCTGCTGGCTGCTAAATCAGCTTGAAGCATCCTGGCCAAATTTATTTCTCCCTTCATTAAAGCTTCTGCTACAGACAGGTTCCATCTCAATATTTTTCTCTCGAGTCTTATTTTTGAACCTACTATGTACCTAAGCACTGTACATTCTATGTTGTACTATAATTATGTCTTTACATATTTGGTCTTCCCTGCAAGACTCCAAGCTTCTTAAGCATAGTAATCATGTGTTAACTACCTTGATAACTTTGGGATCTAGTCGAGGTCTGCTGTGTGATAAGTTTTCAGAAAACGATGGTTAAATTTATTTGAATGTATGTATCAACAGTGTAAACCTAAATAGTAAAGAAGGAGAGGCTCTCTAAAAGAAAATGATATTTATTCAGGGGTAGGCATTGCAATGCGAATATGTGTAACATAGTAAACTAGTAAACTATGTATGTATTCAGGGAGGTGAAGGAAAGCAAAGGCTTTTAGAGAAAAAATGAGAAGGATTACGTTATTGTTTGAGATAATTATCCTTGGCTACTAGCATCCAGCAGTAACAAGGGTGGCTCCAGTTTGAGGCTGGACAGGAAGGTACTGGGAAAAATGTCCTCGCAGAAGTGTTTTGTTTAAGGTTGAGATGGCTTTTGTGTGACGCTGTGTTTTCTACTGAGTCTTTTATGATAGTTCTTGTTATCAGGCATTCGTGCATGAGAACTCTCTCATGGCCTTCCCTAACTCTCTTTGTTAGAGGTTTTTTTGTTTGTTTTAAACATATGTGACTGCATTTTAATTTGGACAAAGTTAACAACAGTTTATTTAGTAAATATTTATTGAGTCACTACTGTGTTCCTGCACTGTGCTAATGACTGAAAGATGCAAGATGAATAGGATGTGACTTCTGCCCTTGAGGAAATCCTGGGTTCCTAGAGAAAGACATACATTAAATTATCCTGTGATCTGAACTCTAATTGGTGTATATATGAGGGTCGAGTACAGAATTTAGAGCACCTAATTCCACCTAGGCGGGTAGGAAAAGGCTAGGGTAAGTATCTTGGAGGAGGTGACATGTGGTCTGTGTCTTAGTGTGAGGGGTCATTCACAAAGTTAGTCAGGAAGCTAGGATGGGTGTTGGAGAGCCATGCCCAGGAGAGAATGCAGGATGCTCACAAGCACAGAGGTGTGGAAGGGTGTGTTGACTCAGGGAAAGGTACCTGATTGGTTAGGCCCTCAGTATTGGGGTGAAAATGAGGCTATAAAGGTAGGTAGAAGCCGGATTACAAAAAGCCTCAAGTGCCTTGAACTTTGTCCAGAACACAGTGAACAGCCATAAGTTTCAAAGAAGGAACCTGAGGAGATTTGTATTATATTTTTGTTTGTTGATTCTTTCACATGAACCATGGAAGACAAGTTTTACCCTTGTCTCCTCCTGGCCAGGCAGCCGCTGAGGTGCTCACAGGTCATGCCTTGGGAGGGTGGACTGGAGGACCGGGAGGCAGGAGAGGCCCCACCTCACCTCTCCCCTCCCCTGTTGCTGGACTGCAGCTGTCTTGCTGCCTCTGACCAGCAGAGTCCTAGGCGAGCCTCCCTCTTGGGCCCACTTCACAGCTTCCATGCTAGTGCTCCATGCCCATCTCCTTCCTCCCCTGCTATGGCTTCAACCTCACTGCCCTCCTCCAGATACCTGAGATTGTTTCTGCTTAAACATCTCCTTTTTCCTATAGTACAGTGGGGGCACAATAATTACTGGATAGATTCAGCCCCTTGGTCCCAGGCTCTGCTCTTTTAACTTTGGATTTAACTGATGCTTGACAGAACACAGAGAAAGATTGGTCTCATCTTACATCTTTCTATGCCACTATTTATCTCCTCTAATGGAACAACTTGAGATGCTAAAAACCCAATTCTTGAAATTACAGGACAGAAAAGAACATGTAGTACTTTACTTCCCTGGCACGTCTTGAGTGCCATAGACACTTAATAGTGGCTCATGCCTCAATGGAGAACTGGGGAAACAAATTATAGAAACCAAAATGGAACTAGAGAGGATAGGAAGACAGCTAGTATAGCAGCTTAAGGAAAGGAACTCAAACCTTTTTAGAGATTTCCCATCTTTGATTCCTCAGAGGATATATTCTTGACAAACTGCAAAATGATTTAATGGATATATTATTTTTAAATTAAAAAATAAAAATATCTTCAAGTCTTTGAAGTCCTGTTGAATTAGGATAAGTAGACACAATGTATAAATATTTTGAATAAAACAAACCATATAGCAGTCATGGCAAACAAAGGATGTCCCAAAGAGGCTTTTTTAGAGTTAAAATACAATTTCCTGGCCAGTCCTCTTCCCCCCTACTTAGACTCATGCTCATCCTGGTCTTTGATGAGTAAATTTGCTTTGGTTTCTGGTTTATAATAACTTGACAAAAAGAGAAGTAGGTCTTTTAAATAACCTACTGTTTGCTTTTTTTTCAATGTATTTCCTCCCTTTTTATTTTAAATTGTTGTTTCCACAGGCACTTGATATTACGTACTGTTCTACTTTGGAAACATAGCATCACTTGTTTTGCTTAAGCAATGTTATAAAACAATTTTATCTAAACTACACTTACTTCAGCATTCTTTTCCATTTTCCTCATTATTGTCTGAAAAATTTTTTTTTCTTTGAGAAGCAGCTGAGGAGCTAGAGTACAAATTTCTTATAACCTGGATGCTATACATATCTAATTTGACAACCAGCCAACAGGATGAATTTTCAAGTTTCACCTCCCAATAAAAACTTAGGTTCAGTATTACCACATTTAATATTATGTAAATAGCAACCATGTGATTGAATCTAGATCTATTTTGCCTCTAAAAATCATGGCATTTGTAATGATCTTAGAATATGTACCACTATCTGTTATCTTAATGTTGAATCTACAATGTATCTCTAACATTAGACTTCAAAGGCAAACTCTAAGGCTCTTTGGGTAACTGGTTGCACTCAGCGTGGTACTCTGTATCTAGTAAGCACTCAGGAATACTGCTTAGAGGAATTCATCAGAGAATTTTCCTAGAGTTGCATATGTATATTTCTTGGTTACAACAGAGAAGCATCTAATTTGAGGAAGAAAAAGATTTGTATGAGAATTCTCCAGAGAAGTGAATTAACAGGATAGCTAGCTAGCTAGCTAACTAACTATATAGATAGAGATTTATTATGAGGAATTGGCTCATGTGATTATGGAGGCTAGAAAGTCTCCAGATGTGCTCTCTGCTGGAAAACCAATGATATAGTTTCAGTATAATTCCAAAGGTCTTAGAGCCAGGGGAGCCAATGGTGTACATCCAGGTCAAAGTCTGAAGACCCAAGAACTAGGCTAATGTCCATGGACAGGAGAAGATTGGGTGTCCTAGCTCGAGCAGAAAGCAAATTTGCCATTTCTCTTCCTCTTTGTTCTCTTTAGACCCCCAATCGATTATATGATGTCCATCCACATTGCAGTGAGAAATCTATTTTACTAAGACCACAAATTCAAATGTTAGTGTCTTCTGGAAACACCATCATGAATATACCCAGAAATAGTGTTTTAGCACAATCTGGGCATCCTTTAGCCCATTCAAGCTAACACACACAATTAATCATCACAGGATTAATATATATTTTGGACATAGAAAATAGGAGGATACACCTAATAACAAGGGAAAGTAAGTGTTAAATATATCATCTGGGATCCAGGGCTGGGACCTAAAGGAGAGGGATATATGCATTAGAGATCTACATTTGTGAATAAACAGTGCAAACATCTTAAAAGTCATGAGATGATGAATTATTTGAGAAGGAACTTTGATATGACAAAGAAATATGCAAGATGATGAAGAAAAAGCAGGATTCAGCCACAGAGAACACTCACAGTGGGAAGGCAAGTAGGAAATATGGCAGAACAGGAGAGAATGTTCTGAGACGGTGGGAAGTAAGATGAAGATGATGTCATCTGTGAAACAAAAACAAGAAAGCAAATCAATAAATGTATTCCATCACATAAATAGAACCAATGATAAAAACCACATGATTATCTCAATAGATGCAGAAAGGCCTTCGATAAAATTCAACCCCACTTCATGCTAAAAACACTCAATAAACTAGGCATCGATGGAACATATCTCAAAATAATAAGAGCTGTTTATGACAAACCCACAGCTAATATCATACTGAAGGGGCAAAGCTGGAAGCATTCCCTTTGAAAATTGGCACAAGACGAGGATACTCTGTCTCACTACTCCTATTCAACATAGCTTTGGAAGTTCTGGCCAGGGCAATCAGGCAAGAGAGAGAAACAAAGGGTATTCAAATAGGAAGAGAGGAAGTCACATTATCTCTGTTTGCAGATGACATGATTGTATATTTAGAAAACCCCATTGTCTCAGCTGAAAAGCTCCTTAAGCTGTTAGGCAACTTCAGCAAAGCCTCAGGATACAAAATCAATGTGCAAAAATCACAAACATTCCTATACACCAATAATAGACAAACAGAGAGCCAAATCATGAGCAAACTCCCATTCAGAATTGCTACAAAGAGAATAAAATACCTAGGAATACAACTTACAAGGGATGTGAAGGACCTCTTCAAGGAGAACTACAAATCACTGCTTAAGGACATAAGAGAGGACACAAACAAATGGAAAAACTTTCCATGCTCATGCTCATTCATATTCATGGATAGGAAGAATCAATATCATGGAAATGGTCATACTGCCCAAAATAATTTATAGATTCAATGCTATTCCCATCAAGCTGCCATTGACTTTCTTCACGGAATTAGAAAAAACTGTTTTAAATTTCACATGAAACCAAAAAAGAGCCTGTATAGGACAATCCTAAGCAAAAAGAACAAAGCTGGAGGCATCACGCTACCTGACTTCAAACTATACTATAAGGCTACAGTAGCCAAAATGGCATGGTACTGGTACCAAAACAGATATATAGACCAATGGAACAGAACAGAGACCTCAGAAATAACACTGCACATCCACAACCATCTGATCTTTGACAAACCTTACAAAAACAAGCAATGGGGAAATGATTACCTATTTAATACATGGTGTTTTGGAAACTGGCTAGCCATATGCAGAAAACTGAAACTGGACCCCTTCCTTACACCTTGTACAAAAATTAACTCAAGATGGATTAAAGATGTAAATGTAAGACCTAAAACCATAAAAACCCTTGAAGAAAACCTAGGCAATACCATTTAGGACATAGGCCTGGGCAAAGACTTCATAACTAAAACATCAAAAGCAATTGCAACACAAGCCAAAATTGACTAATGGAATCTAATTAAACTACAGAGTTTCTGCACAGCAAAAGAAACTATCATCAGAGTGAACAGGCAACCTACAGAGTTGGAGAAGATTTTTGCAATCTGTCCATCTGACAAAGGGCTAATATCCAGAACCTACCAGGAACTTAAATTTGCATGAAAAATACAACCCCATCAAAAAGTTGGCAAAGGATATGAACAGACACTTTTCAAAAGAAGACATGCAGCCAACAGACATGAAAAAGAACTCATCATCACTGGTCATTAGAGACATGCAAATCAAAACCACAATGAGATACCATCTCACGCCAGTTAGAATGGCAATCATTTAAAAAGTCAGGAAACAACAGATGCTGGAGAGGATGTGGAGAAATAGCAATGCTTTTACACTGTTGATGAGAGTGTAAATTAGTTCAACCATTGTGGAAGACAGTGTGGTGATTCTTCGAGAATCTAGAAGTAGAAATACCATTTGATTCAGCAATCCCATTACTGGTTGTATACCCAAAGGGTTATATATCATTCTATTATAAAGACACATGCACACGTATGTTTATTGCAGTACTATTCACAATAGCAAAGACTTGGAACCAACCCAAATGCCCATCAATGTTAGGCTGGTTAAAGAAAATGTGGCACATATATACCATGGAATATACTATGCAGCCATAAAAGAGAGTGAGTTCATGTCCTTTGCAGGGACATGGATGAAGCTGGAAGCCATCATTCTCAGCAAACTAATATAGGAACAGGAAAGCAAACACCACATGTTCTCACTCATAAGTGAGAGTTGACCAATGAGAACATACGGGCACAGGGAGGGAAACATCACACACCGGGGCCTGTTGGAGGGGTGGGAGGCAATGGGAGGGATATCATTAGGAGAAATACCTAATGTAGATGATGAGTTGATAGGTGCAGCAAACCACCATGGCACATGTATACCTGTGTAACAAAACTGCATGTTCTGCACCAGAACTTAAAAAAAAATTTTTAAAAAAAAGTAAAAAAAAAAAAAAAAAAAAGAACAAAAAAGAGTTTCACAAAGGGCAGCAGGATGGTCCATAAATGCAAAATTGTCTTGGAATTTGACAGTGGGGAAGTGATTGAGGACTGGGGAGAAGATTCAGAGGATTCTGGAATAGACAGCACAACTGTAAGATTAGGAAGAGATTGGGTGTTGAGGAAAGAGACCAGAGGTTCTCAAAATTTACTTAAGAATCATCTTGAAAACTTGTTAAAAATATAGATTCCTTGGCCCTACCCCAGGAAACTTTAATCCAGAAGGTCTGGTATGGACTAATGAATTAACACTTTTAACCAATTTTTCCTTCTGATTCTGAATCATAGGTAGTCTGTAGACCACCTTTTGATAAGTAGTATGGCATAGACAACCAGTGTATCCTGCTGCTTCTGGAAGTGAATCAGGGAAAGGAAAGTAAGAGACAAAGTGGTGAGTGGGAGCAGTAGTAAGGTGGTGTGAAGATCCAGCCACGACCCTAAAGAAGAGATTCTGATTTAAAAACAAAGAGGAAAGGACCAGTGGTATCGGAACACAGCAAGATACCAAGGAGAGAAGGCACAAGTGTGAGACCAGTATCCTTACAGTACTTCTCAGGAAAAAAGGAAGAGCATAGCAGTTAAATTAATCTTTAGTGAGAGTTGGGGACCCAGCTTAATTGACAATGAATGGAGGAAAACATCAGAGAAAGTGTGGCAGATGGTGACTGACTTCCCTGTGATTGTTGTGTTTGTGACCTTGCTCTGTGTAGAGCAGCATTTAGTCCCCCTCATTTGTACATTTGCATGGTCATGTGGCTATCTTGATTGCAAACATGAT